TTCTATTCATATTATAAATGGAAATCTACTCTTTAATACTAAACCAAACCAGGAAACTACTTCATATTTATTTTCAAAATGCTTATTATGAAACAATAGATTCAATTATCCATAACCTGTGTCGACCATGGACTAGCTTGATACTACTTTCTCACTTTTTGAAAAATCAATTGGATGTTAAAATCTCTAACATGAAATAAATAGAGCATGGATCTTGTCCCAAGTTTCTAAATGCTATATCTATTTGTTGTTTTAATCTAGTTCGAGATTGTTTACCTTAGTTTGACCGAGTATTAAACTTTTAATCGCAAATTTTACAAGGGAATCTTATATGACACGATCCATCAAGCATTTTGGGGGGAATATCTTTATCAAAAGTTTTTTTTTTTCACTGTATCAAGATTTTTGAATACAACTATTTAATATTGAAAAGTCTTAAGAAGAGAAGGCATATCAACCAAGTTTTTCATCTGGTGAAGGAGAACCAACCTATTTTTAGTTCGAATAAGGCCTGGTTGCCCCGTTTTGGATTATAAAAGTGATTCTAGCAACTTTAAAAGATTTATCAATTACATGTTCTATTCCTTTCAGAGTGGTTTGTTTGTGGGGGGGGCTTAGAGATATATATATATATAAATACATATATATATATAATATATAGATATATATTTAATAAATATATATATATGTGTGTGTGTGTGTGTGTAGTGTGTGTGTGTGTGTGTGTGAGTGTGAGGTGTGTGTGTGTGGTGTTGTGTGTGTACGTAGTGTGTGTGTGTGTGGGGGGGGTTCTGTAGTGATTATGTATGTATGGTATGTCGTGCCGAATAGGTAAAACTTGCTATTTATGGGCTTAAATAAAGGCACCACTCTCTTGTCGAATAAGGCAATGAAAATTTGTGTATGCAATAATTTTGCAAAATCATTCTGAACCTAACGAGAAAAAATATATTTCATTGTGTTTCTGTTAATTATTGAATTATTTGATAACTTATCTAAAATATATTTAGTTGGATAACGCTAACTTAAATTACGCTTCTTAAAATAAGATTAAAAAGTTTTTCTAAGGTTCTTTGGTACATAAATTATTAATTTTTACATTAACCAATGAATGAAAAAAAATCTTTAAACATATAAGAGGAAATATTTTAGAAAGGACATAAGTTTATTTATTGAGTTCATGCTAATTGACCGAATTGGTCTCCATTTTCGGCATAAACATATACATATATATATATTTATCAAAAATCGACGAACAAGTGATGCAAATTCAAACCCCCCACAGGGGGGTAGTTAATGATAGCTCTAGGCCTTCCGTGTTGCAATCAACACATCGGAGCTATGCAATGTTGCAGAAACCAGAGAAGAGAAATCCAAGCAATCACCGAGTTCCAGAGAAGCGTTTTCTGTGCATGCATATAGGATAGAATGGGAAAACAGTTGAGGATAATAGACCCAGTCACACCAGCCATTACCATCAGTACCCTTGTGCCTGGCAACACCCGGTGGCCCGAGCTTCACACACACGGAGGCCCGGTTCGATTCCCGCGCGGGTTGAAACATTTCGACACTTTCCTTACCACCTGTATGACCCTGTTTCACCTAGCAGCAAATAGTTACCTGGGAGTGTTACGACTGGTGTGGGTCCATCCTGGGGGAACAAGATTAAGGACCCCAATGGAAATATGTTAGACAGGTCCTCGATGACGCACTACATTCTGGGTTATCCTGGGTGGCTAACCTCCGGGTTAAAAATCCGAACGAAATCTTATCTTATCTTACTCTCTTAATATTTTTGATAAGGCAATATATGCAGACCAGCTTCAGCCCGGACGCACCTGAGTTACCTGGATACTGGCACTGATACAGTGACTGATACTGTATGAGTAACTTTAGCGTTAATAACGTGTAGTGACATACAATTATCAAAAATTCGGTCAAGACTTCGATATGACGTAAAAAGATTTAACATTCGAATATGAATATAGTATGGCAATTGTCTTGGGTAAATTTTCTCCATACATAGAAAAACGGGTCACCGACATCTCAAATAAAGGGGTGAGACAACTGTATTTCACAAAAGTAAGACGGCTAATAAATATTCCATCGCCACCAGTCAAAACATTCCGTAGTTTATTCCAACAAACGGCGAAGAGGAACCTCTACGACACACATAAAGAGGAAATTGTTCCGGTGTTGGTAACACCATTTGTCGTAATACATCTTCATGTCCGCTAGAAGAGTTATGTGAAGTCTATATAATCAGTAACGGTGATAAAAAAGGTTACCGCCTTGGGAACAGAAAACAGACAAGCCACCGAGGGCGTTAAGACATGACTACATCCATTTTCAATATCAAAAAGGTTGTCTCTCTTCATCAGTCCTCTACATTTTGAATGTCCATTACAACACTTAAATAATGTCTCTGTGTGATTGCTTATATTATTATATATTAATTGCTGAATAATATTTTCTTGTATTCACTTTGCTTTTAGGGAATTCTGAAAGTATGAGGTACACTGCGCCCTTGGGTATCCCAGTTGGAAATAAGTCACTTTGTCTAACTTTTTTGGCTATCTAGGTAATTTAACGGCTAATAAACCTAACATCTGTGGCTACATCATCGCTCTTTTATATATATAATAGCTTAAAAATCCAGTGAATTTAGTGTGCGATGGGGTAGGATGGATGATGGTAGAATAGTGGATAGTGGTGGCAACAGTGGCTTTGGTGATGACAGGAGTAATGAGTGATGATGGAAGTGCTGATGACTTTCGTAGGGGTGGAAGTGTAAGGGGATGAGCGTGGTAATTGAGATATGGATGGTAGCCGGGAAGTATTGATGCTAGGGGTGCTGATGATGATAGTGGGTAATAGTTAGTAAAGTAAGTAAGTTTTTCAGGTATACAGAAATACAGATACATAAATTATCATACATAGCAGCATATGTGTAGAGAACCTAAGATAAACCCAAAAAAGTCCAACAAGCGTGACTTATTCCCATTGAGGGTCCTTTAACTCGTTAATATAATCATATAAAGGTTATAATATTTTCTTATTATTCTATAATGAAGATAATCATCTTATTATCATAACTAAAAATGGACTATCTACTCACACGAGGGTCATTAAGACTATCACAATACGGAGGCCCATTACTAGGAATAAGGACAAATATACACGTAAGTTAGCTGAAAAATAGAAAAATCATTCCCTCCCTTTCGTAGCTACATTCAACTAGAACCGCTTTTGGACACTCTTCTTGAACTGGTCTTCATCTATTACTGCTTTGACATGTGGCGGGTATGTCCTTTTCCATTTTATATAGCTGTACAATTCAAAGGTGTTGAAGCTGCCAATGACTGTGGGTACTACAAAGTTGTGCTCTCTCCCCCTAGTACTAGCTTGCTTTGGTTCCCAACCTTGACAAAATTGACAGCAAGATATTCTGGACACTGTGAGCCAATTTTTTTATAAACAATATATAGCTTCAGTTGTTTTACTCTGTCTTCAACATCAGCATATCCAAGCTGCTGTAAAATTCATTCTGTGCGTCTACATGCTTTCTTGGTCCCAGCCCCAGGATGAATCTTACGATTTTGTTCTGGGTGTCTTGCAGTCTAATCTTTCAGTTTTTTTTGTCAAGCAGAGTACCCATGAAAACAAGCGTATCATATGTGCATTGTAAAGGGTCTAGACATAGGGTCCTGCGAGCCTCAGTAAGTAGACACAGTGCTGTCTATACAGGAACTTCAGTCCGGCATTGGCTTTGTTATACTACACTGTTCCCTATCCATTCTCCTGACATCATGGGTCAAAGGGGATTCCAATATTTTACGATAAACCAAAGAAGGGGCTCCCCATTACTCTGAACATTAAAATTATTTACCCTTCTCAGTTTATTATTCGTGCCCAAGGAGAATGGCTTAAGTTTTCCCGAGGTGTAAATGATAGTTTTGTTGTCTACTAACCATATGCTGCAGGACTCCAGTTTCCAGTTTTAAAACATTAGCTATATCTTGTGGGTCTTTACCTGAACACTAACAGGGCACAGTCATCTGCATACAGTGGAGTTTGCACTTGACACTGATAGGCATTCATTGACATATACATAAGAATAATCAAGGGACCCAGAAACACCTTGGGGAACTCCACATGTTATCTGGCAGGGGTTTTCTGATTCCGTTTTTGTTTGAATTTGAATATTTGTCACCTTTTGCTAAGGTAGGACTTAAACCTGTCCTTTCATAACCTATAACGATAGCTTGAAGTTTCTTACATATACACGACTGAAGACGCCTACTGCGTAGGCGAAACGTTTCGAAATAAAGATAGCTAACTGTTGCATATGTGTCTTTACCTACAACCAGTCGGTATTTTATACCATTTTGATGTTCATGTATCTAGTTCTCTACACATATGCTGCTATGTATGATAATCTATGTAAGTGCATTTGTGTATACCTAATTAACTGACTTACACTTACGGAGATGGTAGAATTTTAGGCACCGAGTCGCAACAGTATCCCTCCGATACCCACGCCACTCGTCCCACAGTCACATAGCAACTCACCCACGTCGACCCACCACCTCACATAATGCTACTCACAGCCACTCATCCCACACTCACACAAGCAGCTCACGCCACTCATCCCACACTCACAATAAGCTAGACATTTAAATATTTTATGAATTATATTTTAAAACCGATAACACTGGTAAATTATATTTGGTGGACAATATGGATGATTAATAACCTAAGAACTTTAACTAATTATCGTTTGGGGTCCACAAAATATACACATTTATAGAATATATAAACTGTACATAAATTACATATACCAAATTTTTATTATCCAATTACTATTATAAGATACAAAATTTAAAAACAACACCCCAAAAAGACTTGGGTCCACATTCTAAAACCTTTCCCTAATACAGACAAATAAACCAGAGGTTTGGCCAACATAGCAATCTACTGTAGTGAACTGGGAAGCTTACATGAGGTGTGCCACTTTTCCTGACGAAGCCGTTTTTTTATATCCTACTTATCAGCTTTACTGTAGCTGAGTCGCTCTTGAATTTCACAACTGCAGGATCCCACCACGTTTACTTATTTCATAGTCCAACATTCACGCTGATACACTTTTTGTCAGGCACGATTAACCAGATTTTTTTCTTCTGTTACACTCACCAATTGTTTTATACTACGCCATATTTCGACCCCCCCCCCCTCCAACTGTCTGTTGGTTCCCTTGTGACTTGAAACGTTTCCAGAAGTCACACCAACACAACATTTTATAAACACTATTATATTATTATATTTTTACACACTAATTTCAGGGAAATCATAAAAAAATTCCACGCGGTCTATATTTGCTCTGTAATTTTTGGTTTGCTATGTTTAAAGCCTATCGACAGCACGCAAAAGTTCTCAGTCTATCAGTCAACAACACATCTCTCCTCCAGTCAGTACATATCCTATGGCACAGTAAGATTCACCTTTATTATCCTGAAACAAATATTACTTTGAAACAAAAAACTACAAATATGTTGGAATAAAGATTCGAAAATATATTAGTCAAAATAAAGATGGTCCCCTGTAGTCCCTTCCGAGTGTCACCGCCCCCGCGGCCCGGTCCCAGACCAGGCTTCCTGGTTGCTGGCCTGATCAATCAAGCTGTTGGTGACCGCCGCCCCCAGCCAAGTGTATGCACCACAGCCCGCCTGATCGGGAAATAATTTGAGGAATCTGTCGAATTCCCTCTTAAAGACAGCCAGGAGTCTGTTGGTAATCATCCTTATGCATGAAGGGAGGGTGCTGAAGAGTCGGTGGATCCCTTACACTTTATTGAATTCTCGTCTTGAGCACTCATCGCTCCCTTAAATGTAATGTAAGGACCGTCTAGTTCTGAATGTAGTGAATAGAACTCAGTAATTCAGATGAAATTTCCTATGTCTAAATAAATGCTTACCTTTGGCTATGTGCCTTAATTTCACCAGGACAGCAAGTAAAGGAGGTTTGCCCAAATGTTTTATAAGTAGTCTATAACTGAGAGTTTTCGTTTAGTCACACATTTAAACATTCTTGAGTTTTAATGTACAGTGAATTAACTCCACATACGTTGATATATTTGAACCTATCTGACCAATTTACAAAAGTAGACAAACAAGCCAGGCATGACTGTAAGGACTCAGAGACGGCCAAATAGAAAGTTGCTTAGACAGACTGTAATACTCCAGACGTGATTATAAACATTCAGAACGTGAGTGTAAGGATTCAAAGTGACTGAAAAGGAAAAACCTCAGACCTGATTGAAAGATTCCTGAAGAGACTGTATAGGGATCTAGAGTTTGATATGTTAATGACTAAGGCGTACTGGTACGGTCAACTACCAAGATACAGGGAGGGGGTATGTAACCAAGAGGCAGGACCACTTTCACTGGTGTTAAAGTCTTGTAAACTTAATCTTCGGGAGGAATGACAGTACAATCACAGTCAGGAGTATGAGGGGGGTGGATAGAAAAGGGTGTGTCTGCCATCCACAATTTTTAATGAATTTGTATGATGCTTTGCCGTGCCTCCACTTAATCGTCTAAGTCAGGGTGTCAACTTCTTTGACACAAGCCTTGATGCCCACTTCAGCACTAAACTTAAAATTGATGGGCAACAGAGTAATCATGTTCCAAAGATCCTGCACGTACATAGCCAACGTAGTTGAACTCCCTCCACGAGTCAACATGTCCAGTATTTCGAGCAGGGAGTATGGCACTATGATCCCACAAATTACAACATCCGTGGCTCACATTAGTACCCAGGTTCTAAGGAGGCCTTCAGCAGGGAACAACAAACCTCCCTCATCCCAGGATACAGAGCTGACAGCCACCGTGACTGTCCTTCTACAGCAGACGTAACGATATGCAATCAAATTTAATATCTCACCATTACGCAGAATAACACATCCCCCAAGCAGCTCGCCCTCAAGCGGCTAGCAAATTCGCCACCTTCCTAAAGAAAGGTCAAAAACGATGACCCCAGCAATCAATTGGATCTTGGCACAACATAATGCATATTAATTTATAATGCCTAGTCCTAGCAGTCCACACAAAAGGTCAAGTCCCTAGCAACATCTGTTATTAAGAGGCAATAATGCATTTCCCTAGAGATGAACAGCCTCATCCGTCTTTCCGCTAGGACGACAAAATACCCGCCCGAGGAAAATGCACGAACAGAACACCTGATAACTCCAGAATGAGAGCCCAAATTCGCAAAAAATCGAAGAGGAAATACTACTAGAACACTCAGGCTTATGATTAGTGGAGGATCCACTACCTTTAAGGACATCATTTACAGCACCAAGGCTCTGAAGGCCAAACATCCACCTCAGAGTCCCCTATACCACCGAGTGACATCTAGCTCCCTGACAGGTGAAGTAGGTAAAACAACATTTAACCCTACATAATGCTGAAGTGTAAAAAAGCCGCCCATGCATTTCCACAAAGCCTCAGCAGGATGTCTTCACCGGATTAAGAGGACAATAACATTTAAAATTAAATGGCCAATCCTCATCTCGTGGATGTTTCAGAGAGATTGTTGTCCTGACTTACCAAACTTTTTTCCCCTATGTATGTCCTGTCTGGCGGTGTTCCCGGGGTGCCATTTAGGCCACGCTTCACTAGTGCAACACTGTGTAATCCCCCAGAAAAAGGATGCGGAATCAGGGCCCACTGCAGGTTGGCGCCTTGATGCCAAGACATGCAGTAGAGAATGGGGTGAATCAAGAGGCTGCTGCAATGCTGAAACCAGACACAACTCAGTTTAGTGTTCAAAACAAGGCTGTGAATGCCTGCTGCCCATGCAGCACGAGTAAACATCAATAACATGTCAGATGAAAAATGCCCTGATTAAATTGATTATGGGCCAACGCTTTCAACTAGTCAGAAAGTGATGTTGCTCTCCAAGTAGTTTCCAGACCTTCCCATTCCCCACTATCACCTTCAGTCGTGTGTTATAGTGTGACTTCCTAAACTATGTTTCATGGAACCATGAACATTGCCTCCATGTCAGGTGTGCTAACAGGAGATCCTCTCAGCCCTTTTCATCAAGAGTCACAAAAACGCTCTCCAGGGAGCTCAATATCTGGGGGTGGAACAATTCTGGCTGACAATAAAGAATCTCTCCTATAGATATCAGAGACACAAGACACTGGCAGAACCCTGGACCTAATCATTAAATCACACCAATGCAAATAGTTTCTACTAATCAACAAATCATGAGGATATATATTGCTGTTTTACGAGGTAGCGAATCACGAGGCCCCCCCATCGACCAACCAATAGAACTCTCCTTAGGTGCTCCACATTGTCCAATGTTATTTACCTGATTTTAGAAAAAAAAAATCTCTAGACCTTAGGATGATGGAACGCAGAAATTAGCACTGATACTCTCGATGCCTTCTACCGTAACACTGTTGATCAGCCCGATCCATCGGGAAGGCCTGGTCCATCGGACCGTTCTCGCGGGCTTGATCCCCGTAATAACCTCCAGGTACCAGTAACATAAGAACAAAAGAACATAAAAAGGAGGAACACACTGCAGCAGCCTGTTGCCCATACTAGGCAGGTCTTTACAATCATGCCCCACTAACAAACATTTTGATCTCAACCCAATTTCAATGCTACCCCAAGAAATAAGCTCTGATGTGCAAGCCCACTCAAAATCCAACCCCTCCCACTCATGTACATATCCAACAAATTTTAAACTACCCAAAGTTCCTAGCTCAAATAACTCGCCAACTAGTTAGAATCTGTTCCACTCATCAACTACCCATTTCCAAACCAATACTTCCTATGTCCTTTTCTTAAATCTAAACTATCTAATTTAAATCCTTACTGCGGGTTCTCTCTGGATGGAGAGATATCCCTCAAGACCTTGTTAATATCGCCCTTTATTAATAACCTACTTTCCACTTATACACTTCGAACGAGGTCGTCCCCTCATTCTTCGTCTAACAAGTGAATGTAACTTAAGAGTCTTCAATCTTTCTTCATATGGAAGATTTCTAATGCAGATAATTAATTTAGCTCATCCTACCGCTTAATGTTTTCTAACGAATTTATGGCCATCTCTGTAATATGGAGACCAGAATTGAGCTGCATAATCTAGGAGAGGCCTTACTAATGATGTATAAAGCTGCAGTATGGACCTCTGACTTCTGTTGCTTCCCAAATCTTGATATAAATCCCAGAATCTAATTTTGCCTTATTACTAACGCTAGGCATTGCTGTCTTGGTTTAAGGTTTGCTGCTTACCAAACCCCCAGTGTCCTTTCGCAATCTGTATGGCTTAAGTTCTACAAATTTAACTATAAGTGCAGGGTTATGGACACTTCCGAGCTTCAGAACCTGCATTATCTACATTGAACTGCATCTGCCACTTTTCTGACCAAGAGTAAGTTTTGTCTAAATCCTCCTGAAGTTCCCTAACATCTACGTATGAATCAATTATCCTACCTATCTTCGTGTCATCGGCGAATTTGCTCATACACTAGTAATTCCCATCATCAAGATCTGATATATAAGAACATAAGAACAAGGAATGTCGGAACACTGCCAGGAGGCCTACTGGCCCAACGAGTCAGGTCCTTATCAAAACGATCTCTACCTTAAAAGCTAAACTCAAGAAATAACTCCCGCACCCCCCAACTCAACCAACTCAAAACCCCGCCCCCAACCCACTCATTATTTGTCCAGTCTCTTGCTTAAAGCTAACTCCAAAGGTCCTAGCCTCTATACACTACCCACTGAGGCAGACTGTTCCATTCCACGAATCTACAACTTCTTTAGAAAACCAGTACTTACCTCATGTCCACTCTAAATTCTAAATTTATCCCAACTTAAATCCCTTATTCCTGGTTCTTACCAGGTTCGACAACGACCCCTCAGTACTTTATTAATGGTCCTCCCTTCTGTTTATGGCCCGTCAGTCCACTTATTACACTTCAATGATACTCCCCTCATTCTACGCCTCTCCACGAGAGTGGAGATTTAAGGCTTTAAGTCTATCTTCATACGGGAATAGGTTCCTTACACAGTACATTACATTTAGTCATTCTTCTCTGTATGTTCCTAATGGAGTCTATTCCATCCTGGTAGTAAGGACCAAAACTGAGCACCTAATCTAAAATGAGGCCTCACGATATTGAAAATGTTTAAAATAAAGCTTT